GCCTGGAGGTGTAAAAGCAGACAAATGACTTGGAACTGATGTAATTATATAGACTGTTGGTGAATCAACCCCATTCTGGCGCCTGGAAGTGCAAAAGCATGCTGGAGATTTGATCGAACTCGGCCGAAAGATCGAGCGGCCTCAGCGAGGTTCGAGGAGCCCTAGCCTCACCATGATGCTCCCAGCGGAGGTGCTTGAACGGGACATTCGGATGGCCGGGGCGGGGTTAGCTTTCGAGTTGGTACGAGGGTTCCCTCCGGAGGCGCTGCTAGCTGACTGGGCACTCCTAGAGAGGATTGTCCGGCCAAGATAAAGGGAAGGCACTCATCTTCTGAACTGAGCCCATCTTCTAAGAATGCAGAAAGAGCTCTCTTCTTGACTGAGCTGTTTGGGTGGGGGTGTAGATGTTCATCCCTCCAACATTTTGACCGCATATATTTTTTGCCCGCCCAAATAGAGCGAAAAAGGATCCCTACTACGACATGTTGGAAGCCGTGTACGTCCATTGTAAATTTGTATGTGCATACATTTGTATCTAGATTTCAGGAGCACTTGCTCCTTGTTTGACCAAGTGAGCTCAGTGGCAGTTGCTGCGTCCAATGCGATGTCTGGCACGCCTCAGGCACCGGCGCAGGTGTCGAACCCCGAGGCTGAGGGTTTCGTGCGATGTCTGGCTGGCTGAACATGTTTTAAGAGGATGGCTGGATGTAGGTGGCGTTACTTTGGATCCACTGCATCCAGGTGTCAGAATGAGGTGGAGGACTTCTGGTTGATAGCGGAGGTTTGTGATTGCAAAGCACATGAATCTTTGGGGAAGAGTTCCTCTGCCCAGTTCGGTCGAGATTCATGCACCTATTTAATGTCTGTTTTTTCTTCCTGGACCTGAAAGAGTCTGAGGGAACTGTTGGAAATCTCGTGGAGCCTGTACATCCCAACAGCTATCGCCCTGGGGAACCCATAGGAGGCCATCGCTGTTAAGTGGAGGCCATCGCTATTAGGATGGAGGCCATCAATGTAATTTATATATATATATATATAGATTCATGTTTTGAAGGTCTCTGCATCATCACCGGCAGCTCAGCAACGCTCCGCATTTTCAGGCAGCCATGAAGGCTTTGCTCCCACCTTCATCGCGCCCTGCACCACCCAAGGCACAGGATGCACCGCGGTAGGTGACTTGAGAAGATGGTAAAAGTAAGTTTATAACTACTTTGGATGAAGGTTCTACTTCCAAAATCCAATCCATTCCTGGGGATTGGCGCCAACTACTCTGATTTATTACTCCTGAAAATTGTCGCTACAATGGCTACGGCATTGGGTCTCTTTTGCAATGGCTCTCAGTGGGGATTCCATCGGATTCAAGCCGGGGATTCCATGAGGAGGCCGTGCCAACTGGGCGTTGTTCTCCGAGGTCCCGTGCTTCCGACCGTCTTTTCCCAGAACATTGATCCAGCTGTAGCGGTCTATATACCATCTCGAAATCGAAGCCATACACTATCCTTCCAGCAGATCCTTGTTCCTTGTTGTATGTGCCTGTGTATTCGTTTGTATTCTTATATTTACCTCCCAGTTCCGACTGGGTGATAGGAGGCCAATGGGACAAATTTGCTACTTGTTCAGGCACCACTGGAACCAGGATCCCAGCGTTCTCTCTTCGGGATGTCGCTGCTTTGCCCTTGGTGCTGCCTTGTCAGGCCTTGCCTGCAGCCAAAGTGCCTGCGGGCACCGTCGAGGTGGCGGCCGTGGGCCGGCCGCGATCCCCGTGGGGCGCTGGTTTCGTGTGGGCCGCGGCCCTTCGGATGTGACAGGATCCGGTCCATGGGTGGCGCCATTTCTGAGGAGTTTCTTGTCCAGATTGGAGAATCACATGGCCCATGGTGGATGGCCTTGGATTTGCGCAGCGCGGAATCAGGGACAAAGCCTTTTTTCGCCGAAGCACGCCATAACTATGTTTCTTTTTTCACAGAATCATGCCGTGAAACGTCAGCTCATACACACCCCACGCAGTCGAAGATGCTCATAAGCCGCCAGGATTTGGATCTCGACGACGACGAGGCCAGAGGTGATCCAGAAATGGTCCAAACTCGAAGGGCCCGTCCACCTGTCCTTTTGGCCATTCCATGCAGCGTGTCCATGTGAAAACAAGCTATGCAAAAGGCCTTAGACCTCAAAGGTAGTGATTTCAGAACATCCGCAGATTTTGTGCCAATCTTCTGATTTGGATTGCTTGGAGACCCCTGGTCGGCCTGTCCCTTTTTAGAGCGCCGACCTTTTCTTTTTTGGAGCGCTGAACCTGTCGGTGCACCCTGAGCCAGGTCGTGGCGTGTGAAGCCCCGCCCAAAGTGGCGGAGGCTGCCGTGGCGGTGCGCGCAGGCGGGTCGAGTCTGGCGGGTGACAGGTTCTCGGTGGCGCATGTCACGGTTGAGCTTGTTTGAGACCAGATTTGTCAGTCTTGAGAAGGGTGGTTTGTGGCGCCGGCACGCCTAGAGGACATCATTTTTCTTGAGTGGCGCCGGCGCTAAGGGTCTGGTCCTGTAGCTATTTTGCATTCGGGATCTGGTCGGGGATTACGGAGGACCGAGCGACTGCCATAAGTAAGGTTTGTTAAAATTTTGATGCAACATGCTATTTTGGGTCTGAGACACGATGATGTATTTTAGACCTAAAGACTAAGGGATGTGGTTACAATCACGCAGGTTCTGGCATGTTCAGTCCATCCAGTGTCCTTCCGTTGTCTTAAACACGGTGCTTCGCTCACCTCCCCAGGCACCGCGGAAGCTGCGCCCAAACGGAGACGGGCGGTGGAGATCCAGGTGGCGGGGGACCGAGGGGTGGCCACCTGGCCAGGCTGAAACGAGCCGAGTTTCGGGTGAACTAGAGCAGAACTTGATCCATGGACGACGTTTCATTTGTTTTTCGCTCTTCTCACTCTCCCCCTCTCTCTCTCTATATATATATATGACACCTCCTCTTACTGCCTCAAGCAAGAAGGTCTCACAATCCCTGATAGCCATAGCTCCTGCCACAAGACCCCTTGTGACGAGTACAGGTGCGCAATGTTTTTGTTCACGTCCTTATTGGTTCTTGATCAGTCGGGAACGGAGGGATGGATCCATTCTTCGGCTGATGGATGCATGGCTTGGCGTATCCAAAAACACATTCTTTTGGCCAAGCCACGTTTAAAAGAACGATAATACAGGTTGCTTAACACAAGCAACCAACCAAACTTTAAACACATTTTGGGACCCATTTCTTTGTACACATCCCCTTCACTGGTCAACTGGGTCAACTGGTTGCTCTTCATGTTTGAACCCGGTCCCCCAGAGTCACCCACTGCACGCTTCACCACTGCACGCTTCACCACGGCGAGTTGCTGGGAGTTCGGCTGAGATGATCTGAGGTCGAAGTTGAAGATGGCAAAGACGAGGAAGCCAAGGACACGGGCCTCGGGAAGAATGTTTGCGGGTATGGATCTGTGTTTGATTCCATGTTGTTTTAATGCCGTATATATAAAGCATGTAACGTAGCTCTTGTAATTGTGTGGTCCGAGAGCGTTCGAGACAAGACAAGGACCGACGGCGGAGGGCGAGAAAGGAGAAGGAAGCGAAGGAGAAAGAGGCAAAGGAGAGTGAGGCTAAGGAGAAGGACCTGAAAGAGGCAGAAGCAAAGGAGAAGGAGGTGAAGGAAAAGGAACTCAAAGAGAAGGAGGCGAAGGAGAAGGAGGCAAAGGAGAAGGAACTGAAGGAGAAGGAGCTGAGCGAGAAAGAAACAAAGGAGAAAGAAGGCAAAGAAAAGGTGCCTACGGACATGCTTGGGCCTCAGTCACTTTTGTGTGTAGGCTACTGGATCAAACCACCAAGCACACACCACCAGCCGGCAACACCTTTGGAACAATCCAGACACAATCCATAACAGTCCAACCCCAAACGATCTTCTAATTAAATTCTAATGACACTTAGATTGGTTTTAATTCTAATTCTATTGAATTATAGTTTCTAATAGCTTCTTGTTACTAGTAGTAAGGCCAGGAGTCCCTAGTAGCATCCTTGCTCCCAGTAGCGATGCCAGGAGCCCCTAGTAGCGTCTTTGCTGGACCTCTGGGGTCCAACCACCACGAAATTTAATGACCATTGAGTATCCAGCCAAACGGAACGAGACAGACTGAGACAAACATGAACATTGAGACGTCGTCCTTCCGAGTTGCATGGGGGCCCTCGAAAAACACCTCAGAAAGACCCTAGGGCCTATTATGGGGTATGGGAGCATGGGGACACCTCGGAAGAGTGACCAATTTTATTGACAAGAGTGGCAAGTGTGTGGCCAGAAGGGACAGAACCCAGATGAAAAGCGTTTGAAGCGGATTCTGAAAAGCTTCTACAGGATTTGAAGACTCCATCTTCCCCTTTTCAGACTCCACCTGACACCGCCAACCACTGGGCGTGCCCGGAACGCGTCTGGCGAACGAGGTCCGTCCAGGCGGGAAGTGAGGGGCTGTTGTTGGGGACGATGGTCTCCAGGTCCCAGACGGCTATGGGCGGTGCTCCCACTAATCAATCTTTCGAGCTGTGGGCGGGGCCTATGGACCTTCAGACAATCCATGAGGTGAGCTTTTTGAGCAAGGTCTGGGCCTGGGTGGCAACATGGGGCTCTGGAAAAGCTCGTTTCCGGAACACTGGTGCGCAGTTGAAGTACTACAGCAAGAGTTTGTAGGCTTTTCTCTTATGCACACAAACAGGTGGTGGGTTGCCGGTTCCTCTGCTCCAGCAATTGGATTGCTGGAAGTAAATCCACATATATAATCACCATGCTGGCCACCAACCAGGACCAGTGATCCCTTGCAAACATGTACCGAATATTCAATTTAGGATTTTTAGGACTGCTATCAACTCCATATTTGAGACAAGAATACTGCATGCGAAGCCGCAAAGTCTCCCGATTTTTGAGACAGAACCATTCTTCAGCGAACTCAAAGTGACCCCCCAAAGCCACGATCCCCCAAAAGCCACGACCTCCGCCCGAGGTCCTTTGTTTTTGCTGAAACAACCAAAATCGTGTGTGTTTGTAAACAGGGGAGACAGACTGGTCTATTTTCCGTCTTTCCATGTCTTTCCTATGTTTTCGATGTTTCCTATGTCACTGCACGCCCAAATACCTTGGCGTCCCTTCAGCTTGGACCGTCCTGTCGACACTTCCTGAGGCAAAGCCAAAGAACACGGCCCAGGTGCGGGCACTTGGCCCAACCGGCTTTTCACGGCGATAGCGGGGTAGGGAGGGTCCTGAGGCGCGAGCGATCTCCGTTCTGGTTGGGGGATTGATCGCTCCTTTGAGCTATTCTTCAATGGATTCATTGAAGATCGAACGCTCTGAAACATGTGCATGCAGGGAGACTTAAGGAGGTATGGCCTGGAGAAGCACTTTATACAACTTATGTTGCTGTAAGAACACAGAGCATCGAGAGCATGTAGCTTCTTAGCATGTCCGGGATGTCTCACGGCGATGGGTTTGGTCGTTTAGGTGGATGGGGCTAGCACCAAAGATCGTTTGATGTGTATCAACTGCTGGTTCTCCATCTTCTCCATTTTTAAAGGAATACTCAAACCCTGGGGTCTGTCTTGGAAGGTCTATGTTGTTCTTTTGGGCGTGGATTTGTACCAAGCAGTGGGGCGTGAGCTGTTAAGCTGTTGATTCCTCTCACGCGCCTGCCTTTTGGAGTTGAAAGGGCCAGTCGGGCCAGCAGGGGTCAGTTGGGGTCAGTGGTTCTTCTACCGTATTCTGCATCCACCAGGATGCAGATTGCATTTGCATGAAGAGCAACCCCAAAACACGACCAGAGGTGCCAAACGAACGCAGGAGGATGGTTGCCCACACTCACTGGATGGGACTAGTTATGACTAGTTGCTTTACATGGCTTTGCAGAACCTGTTTTCGCTTCCTTCCTTCCTTCCTTCCTTCGTTCGTTCGTTCGTTCCTTCCTTCCTTCCTTCCTTCCTTCACTTCACCCTCCAGGCGGGTGTGGCGGCTGCCGCCGCGCTGGGCTTCGATGTGCTGCCCAAGCAGTCAAGCTTCGTGTGCCTTGGACGGGTCGGGGCATTGGCCACCCTTGTGAGACCCGTTCGGGGTCGGGGGCACCATTGGCCAACAGGGCGTTTGGTTGGAGCTCAGGAACTTCGAGTTGTTTTTTCCATCAACCATTCGGGCAGCCAGGAGATTGCAGGTGGGCTTGCGCCCTCAAACACCCAGCCAGCTTGCCCTATGAGGGATTGCTACCCCTACGAGGGCTGAAATGCTTTTCTTTAGAAGTTCTGCTTTGATTGAGGTCGAAGACTGATAGGATATTGATATGATTCAGTCATTTGGAGATACAGCTATTGATTTTGCTCCTTGTTCCTTTGGTTGGCTGTTGATCAGGCCCTGGCAACTGAAACTCAATTTGACACCGAATTCGTGAAGATCTCTCTGTAGGTATTCACTGGTTCGCCCCAGCAAGTGGTCGAGATGTAAGTGAGATGCTTCGGTTTAGGGAGACGCACATGCGACGATGTGACCTTCGAGGATCAGGGCCGCAGTTCGCAACCAGGTAGGTCGCCACGCGGCTGTCGCTCTTTTTGACATGTGACACGCATGACAGTGAAGTGCTGAGGATTTGAGGAACCTTTTTCTGGGGAAGATAAGATGCGTTTGGCAGGGTTTCCTTCTATATCAGAGGGATCAGTTGCCTAATGTCTAAGGCGTTGGCTTGCATCGCTGTTTTTGAGGTTCTCATGGAGGCTCGCCTCCTCCTTGATCCGTTGCTTCTTAGGTTCTTGCTTGCTTGTTTGTTTGTGCTTGCTTGTTCGTTTGCCGCGCCTGCAGGTTCGCTTTATTTGGCGAGGTTATGAGTAGCTATATACGATGCACTTTGTAAAATGGTCCCTGGGAACTTGGAAGACCACTTTCTTTCCTCTAGACACAGGGGGTGAGCTCCACTTCCATGTCAGTGGGTCAGCTCAAGATCTCCATGGTGGCTCGCAAGCACGTGTCACCCACTACCCGACCCGAGGCCACCGACGGCGCCAGCCTTGGGCCTGCGGCCCTCCATCAACGCGCCGTCCGGGATGCTCAGCGGGACCGGGAGAGGCGGGGCAAGTTTCTTCACCCACCTTTGGCGGGCTCAAGAGAGGTTGATTTCATTTTCGAAAGCACCTCTACAGGCCCCCAAATGGATAGGAAAGTAACTCCCCACTGAACATGTATTGGACACCGTGCCACTATCTGATTGGGGACCACTTTCTGGTGGATAGTACTTTCCTTGCCACTGACCTCCAACTGGGTGAAGCCTCCCTTTTTGCCAGCAAAATGGCAAACGGCAAACGGGTGTTGGTGGATCAACGCTCCTTCACTGGGTCAGGTCTCAAGAGCTGGAGATAGACCATCAAAGATGTTCTGCAGCATGTACAAGCAAATGCACAGGAATTAACCATGGTGAAAGTCAAGGGATGCATGCATGCCACCAGTTTTCTTCAATCATTTTTCATTTCTGAAGGGTCTCATTTTCATATCTCTCATGAATATCGGTCATATGTGGTCTTTCCTAAAACCGCACTGGGATATGGGATTTGTTGCTGGGGTGACCCCAGTGACCACTGGTGGCATTTCCCACCAACTGTCCTGGTGTGAGACACGCTGGGAGAGGTGCCCTTCCAAGCCTTTAATAGCAATGGCCTCCAACCTAAAACTAGGTGACTTCAGAATCAAACAACAGGCGATGGCTTCCATTCCAAGGCCAACCCATTTGTGTGTGATTGAGTGATTGTTTTCTTTTCTGGGACTCTCACAAGTAACACAGATCCCCCACAGACACACTCATGATAGGATTAGAGAAGGATAAGAAAAGGACTCTTGAACACCTTGTTGTTACCTAATATGAGATACAGATCTGGTACACAAAGGAACGTGTTTTTATTCGACAATCACGCAGTAAAAATCCAAAGACACATGGTGATTCTCCGCTTCGAGCGCCACTCCGGACCGAAAAGCCTTCACCAACAAATCAACGACCCAAATAGAAATATTCACCAAAATCATCTTGCAGACTCTCCTTTCTGGCAGCAGCAGTTTCCAGATTGTTCAAGCCAGGCAGGCTGCGGTTTACTCGGGACCTTCACCAAAGGAGCTCAAGCCTTCCAGGTTCTCGCGTCGCTGTCCGAGCGAATCTGAGGATTCCCTTGCCAGCCAATTCCAATCCAACGCAGAGCCGTGTTTGCGTGCAGTATCTCTGCCCGGGCGCCCAGCTGAACGCCAAACGCCGTTAAAACTTCTTAGTGAAATAGATGGGACTGCTCCCCCAAAAGCTTGGCACCCGAGACCCTTCGATAGTGCTGCTCAGCAGAGATTGAGGGAGCCTTTACCCACAGCCATGATGATCTGCTTCATCAAAGGAAAAGGTCATTGCAGTGACACTAGAACGGATGGTGTCCTGCTTGGACGAGCTACAGCCAAGGCTAAGCCTGCTAAGCTGTTCAGTAGGCATTAAAAGAGAAGGAACACAGATGGTCTTTGAAGGCATGGAACAGCTGGTATGACAAGACCAACGGGTGGAGCAGCTTACGGAGAAGGGACCGTTTCTTAGGCTTGGCTCAAGTATTCTGGCGCGTGATGTACTGAAAAACGACGCCTCACAGGTTGGACGCTTAAGGAGAAAAGACACACAGGTTGTATCTTCCAAGCAATCCCAAAGGTCTTTAGTCTTTAGTCCATTTTAGTCCCATCCAGTGGATGTTCTGGGCACATGAGCACTGAGACTCCTATGGAACTTGTGAGAGGGTCTCCTTCTTGCCGACCTCATTGGTCGATGAGACCCCAAGCAGGGGGCCTCGACGCTGAGGCTGGGCGCGCTGTGACCGCGGCAGCAATTGCCCGGAGGCCGGTGAGGTTGTGTTGAGCACGTGATTCGATCAGTTGGCACGGGTTTGATGTCAAGATTGAGGTTTTAAGATTATCAACATTTAGATTCTTAGATCAAATGGGCCGGTATAATTAGTGATCAGTCTTGGATACCCCTGAGCCCCCAAATCATGTGTTTCCACTATCGAAAGGATATGGAAGTATTTCCTTTCTATGCAGGGCGCCCTGCTAGGGACGAAGTCCTCAAGTCCTCCATCCCCAAGGTTATGGCCCCTGCTCTGCCTCATGTGCCTTGGTGTTTTTTTGACCATGCAATTCATGCTGACAACCACATGCTGGTCCTTGAGTCGACCATGCTGGTCCTTGAGCTGGGCAACTCTTTGTAGGATACCAATACCTTCCTCAAAAGGATTGAATCGAATTCCAAGGTCAGATGTCTCACAGAGACCACTGTCCAACGGTCCCACAGTCCGGCAGAGCACAGAGCCACGCAAGGAACACTTTGGACCAAAAGCGTTTTTGCAACCTGAGCAGTGCCTATTCTTTTGCCGTGCGGCGTGAAAGAGGCGCACATCATGGACCCCGAGGAGGAGATGCCGGGGGTCCTTCCGGAGCACCACGTGGTCTTCGTCCATGGTTTGGGGGTGAGCGTATGTATATCTGGTAGATGCTCACTTTTGGTCACCGCAAAATAGATACCCAATATACACTGTAGGTACTCATGTAGGACAGTGAATTCCGGAACAGCAAAACGCCTGACAGAACCAGTGTCCGAACCTGTTGAATCGATCAATCCAGCTCGACATGAGGTTTCACTGTTTCACTTGCTCGACACAATTCCAGCAGTCCGTACTCTGCCACACTACAGTACAATACGATACGATAGTTTCCCCTGCATTAGAGGAGACAAGTCTTCCCGTCCTTGGGTAGCTACGCTACGTTTTGGGGAGGGTATATCATGGTCTTCAATCACTAAGTATGAGATTGTGGCAATGGGATTGTCCCAAAGTTGAAGTACTTCGTTGGGGTGATCGAGATTTTTGCTCTTTTGCTTTGATAAGCTAGGTACGTGAAACCTCCTCTGATGAGTGGATATCACAGAAGCTCGATGGTTTTCATAAAACATATATATATATATATAATGGATCGAGACTTCCCCTGGAACCTCGCTTGGCTTCAGGGAATAAACTCAAGACCTGGAAGTGTGGTCCTTGTTGCCTTTTCAATGAGCAACCATCAGAAATTGACCAGTATTTGTACTTAGTCAAATACCAGCATAAACTCGATTGAGACCAGCACAAAGGACTTGACTTGTTCCCTAATTTTGACCACAGCCCCGATGCGAAAAAGGACCGCAGCCTCTGGAAGACCAGGCTGCAGTTTCCTACACAGATTGAGAAATGGTTCCCTCTCTAAGACCCTGGAGTGGCAAGCCGCAATGGGTCGCCATACCATCTCAAGGGAAGAATTCCCGGCCAGCCACCTTACAGTTCGTTTATTTTCCATGAGTGAATCTGAAGCTTCCTGCATGCCAGGCAGTTTTGCGGATTTCTTCCATCACTAGTTAGTATTGTTGTGAAGTCTAACCAGATGGTTTCATGGGCTCGTTCAACCGGAAGACAAGCATCCAGTTACGACCCCTGCTAGATCTCAGAGCATTCGCCACTGAGGCGCGTTCGGGCCAAGTTCAAGTTGCAAGAGTGCAACCAGGGCGCCAGCTGTACTCGTTTGTTGTCCCCAGTGGGAACGGGGAGAGGGTGGCAATGATGGCAGGACAGTCGCACAGGTGGCAGAGGTATGCAGAAGTGGTTCTTCTTTGCAGGGACTGGAGCGACGTTATCAGGGACGTGGACTGGACCATTTGCATCCAGTGTCAAAGCACATTTTCTGGGGAACCCATGGGAAGCCTTCAGACGAGCTTACAGAGTTGATCAGCCACTGCAGACGACCAAGCATTTGGCATGGAGTTGATCAGCCACATCGTGAACCCGGTGGAGTTTCTGCACAGGAAAAAGGAGCCCTGGTTTCTGACGGAGTTTTGATTTGCACAGAGATGCCCTAAGCATTCAGGAACATCTCTCATCAACAGGTACCTGGTACCTTTTGTTTTGCTTTGTCGGGATCCAATCCAAGTTGTTACAAGGACAACTGGGTGGTGGGGCAATCTGGGTGGGATGTGAACGATACAGGTTCGCATCTGAGCAAGACCTATAAGTCATAGGTCTTGCTCAATTTCGCTGTGCATGGGGATATTCAGGGTCGAAATCCGGTTGGCGTGATTCCGAACATCTCGCCGCGCGGGGTGAACTCGGTTGCAGCCCCCGGGACCTTTCTCTCTCGGCTGTGCCGGACCTGTCTTGGAAGACCACGGGCCGGACCACTGGGTGGCTGTGGCTCCGTGCACCCTGCACCGTTCATCGGTGGCGAGCCGCGTCGCCTCCACGCGTCCGAAGAATCGAGGCACCAGCTGTTTGTTCAGACATCCGGGCGAGCATGTGGAAGAGGTGTGGAGGGACACAGGAAGATTGGCCGACCGGGGAGGGTAGACGTTGTAGACCGTCATGCTTGATGTGGCAACAGTGGCAACGAGCGAACAAAGAGAGCTTCCGGGTCTTCTGAGGTATGTTCACCACCGCCCTGGTGTGGGTTGCTTGTGAGCAACCTTCCTTGCAACTCCTGCATGGTGGATCCAATTCTCTCTGTTTTGATCCGAGATGACCTGTCATGGTGCTTTTCAGTTGGCGAGGAGGGAGCCATTCTCCCGATGTCAGTGAGCTGGAGGATGGACTTTGCAATACTTCCATTTGGGATCATTCGGGTCATCGAAGCAGGGAGATCCCACATCTCCAACAGCAAAACTGGACCTGGACTAGAGCTCATCAATGGAGGGGTCTCACTACTAAAATACAAAGACATGTGCCATTATTTGACCTTCCCCCCAACTTTATTCTTTTTTTGAAATGGGGGTTCATAGATACTTTCCACCAGAGTGGTGCGGCACATTCTTTCTCTGCGACCGACCCAGCATGGCCAGCAGTCAAGTGAGTGGAGCTTGGGATTTCGGGGCCTCCAACAGGTATCTCTTTGGGGTGCAAAGAGGCACCTGGTACGTCTGTGAGACAACCTCAGTCTGTTGACGTCCTGTTTCCGTCAGAGAATCAGGGAGAGTGGTGAGCCCTTCAAGTGAATTGAAGGGTGTACATCCGCTGGTAACTGGGTCTAAGTTTCCATACGCCTGGGCTGAGTTGTGCCACCAATTCTCAGCTAGATAGATTGAAGATGGGTGAATTCCCCTTTTTCATTCACTTCTACCCAGCTCTGGGAGGTGATTGTTGACCACCACGCCAAACCTCCCTCCCACGGTTCCCAGCCGACCGGCGACCGGCTCTTTCTTTGGCTCCAGTGCTCCATCGGCCCGGGAGGGTCGTGTGGGGTGCATGTTCTGCGGTTTTGCGAAGCAGGGCCGACGATCAGACGGTGGGCGTTTCTGGGTATGACGGAAGGGACGGCGGAGCAAAAGAAAAGGAGATCCCACCGGTCGAGCCGAAGGTTTGGATGTCCTCCATCCCGAACCTCAAGCGGCGGTTTTGACTGGTCAATCCCCGTAGAAACACGACCGCAGCAAGTTGAGAACCGAGCTTCCAGCCTTTGGCATGTCGGATCCCTTCGGCGAGCTGGAGCTCAACTACAAGGACGCAGGTTTTGTTGGGTCAGCCTGGCGGATGAATGATGAATGGACCAAACGTGAGGGCAGCCGGGGCTGCTGCCCCTAAGGTTTCAAACAATGAATGCCAGGTAGGGGTGGAATCCAAACAATTTGCTTCCCTTTTAGCAGGATTGCTTCTTTTGGGTGGCTCCGGCTGAATCGAGACCCCAAAACGAGAGAATGTTTGGTTGGCCCGATTCGGGCTGTGAGTTCGAAGAGCTGTGCAGGCATGACCACTCACACTCAGGAAACGTTGTTTTTTGTGTGACTACAGTGCTACAGGGTCAAAAACCACAGCCATAAGCTTTCACCTGCTTCTGCTCCAAAAGGCGATTAAAAATCGGGTGTTCCTGGAACACTGTGGGATCTTGGTTTCAAGTCACTGTGGTACCGGTTCATCAAAACCATGAGTGGTTCAACCAACAACAAGCAGGCACCAACCCCCACATATAAATACACCCGGCAAGGCTTACAGTATATACATTCATGGAGTATTTGTGGTGGGTCAGCCGCGTGGAGAGCAACCGAAGGTAATCCTCTCCACCCAACAGATGATTATATGCCCGGTCTTGGTACAGCAGCAGCCTTACCTTTGTCTAGATCCATCATTCAAAATGACCCCCTGTTCTAGATTAGTTTGAGAGATTAAGCCAAGCAACGAAACATGATTGGCTCCAAAGAGTTTTATTGCACACCCAAACGAAGACATGTCTAGGTCGAGTTCCGCCATTTGGGGCACCTCGTCTCCGAATTCCTGCGGATCTCAGCTCCGCACGGCGCCGTCGGTGGCGTCGTCGGTCTCTAGCAAATGCTCTCTAGTAGCTTCTTGTTACTACTAGTAAGGCACCTGTTACTACTAGTAAGGCACTTGTTCCTAGTAGCTTCTTGTTACTAGGATCATTGCCTCATCCTCGTCGGCGACGGCGGCGCCGCGGACGAGCGCCTGGCACGGCGGCGCTTGGCGGCCGGGGGGCGCTTGGCGCACTTCCTGGTGACGGAGGAGATGCCGAGAAACGGGGCGGGGCAGATGGTCCAGTTTGGTCTAGTGACTCATAGACTCGTCATAGACGTCTTCCAAAGATGCGTATGTGTACAGATTGTTCTTGTTACCTTTTGGCTTAAGGTCTGTGTACCTGGTCCTGTCTTGCTCTTCAGTTGGAACGGGGTAAATGCTGGGAGAGAGTTAGCTCCCAGGGACCGGGCTCGGTGTCCAGAGTTGGAGACACATTCGGTAGGGCCTGTCAGTTGGATGGGCCAGTTAGTTGTTTGTGGTCAGTAGTAGTTCTAGAGTCTAGAGTGGTCATCAGTGGTCCACGTACATAGTTGGAAGAGAGAGGAAGATTGACAGGTCTGAATGATCTCAAAGACAGAGGGTAGATTTAAACTCTTTTGTGACTACACAACCTTACAACCATCTGCCGGGTTGAGGTGGGGGGTCTCTGGTTGTGGCTGTCTTCGGGTGTGGGTTTCCAGATTGCGACCGGGTCGCCTCTTTTGTGGTGCGAGGTCTCCTCGGGTCGACGTCTGGATGGTCGCTGTCCAATGGACAGCCGCCTTCGACACGTCAACCACTTTGTCAGCCGGCGAAGCGTTTTTCGTGTTTTGCACGTCTTTCGTGCTGCTCCTCCAACTTTCGGTTGGTTTCCTTAGCCGTGTGTTGGGGGCCTTCCAATCCCTCGCCGGCGAAAGACCAGTGCCGGCAGGAGCAAGTGAAGCATGCTGGGGCCGAAGATGAGATTATCTTCACCTGGCAGCCCCTGCACAAAGCGACCACCTCGAGCCTTTGGCCGTCGGGAACCCCCACCCCCCCCCGGTTCTCCGTTCTCTGCTTCGGTCCGGTCCCACCCCCGGCGGACCCGCGTCGGTCGGGGGCGTCGGCCGCGGATTAGAAGACGGTCAAACATGGTTCAACCAGGTTTGTCCCCCTACGAACAAGTGCATCGCTAGTAGTAACAGGTGCCACGCTACTAGGAGCAAGAAGCTACTAGGGGCTCCTGGCCTTACTAGTAGTAACAAGAAGCTATTAGCTTATTGTTTCATTTTGCTGGAACACATTTCGTAATTGTTGGAACACATTTCGCTTACAACTCGACCTGCACATCTCAAGGTCCGGCAGCCCGGCAAAACCTCATCAAGACCTCATCAAAACCTCATGGAAACTCTACTTTGGTCATTCGGGCAAACTGGGCCCTTCGAATTTTGATGTTGTTGTTTTTTAATCCTTGGATGTTTCACCCATTCTTTTGGCTACTCCCCGCCACCAGTCTGATACGCAGACTGGCCCAATGTAACTTTCTCTGGAGGAGATAGGGAAGGACATGGGAAAGACATCTTTGGACAATCAGTGGCCAAAAGCATAATTTTGATGGAATTTTTGCTCTTGCCCACCACATGGTGAAGGATCATCTACACTCAGAGAGTTTACTGTTAGAAACAGTTTTTTGTTTGGTATTTTTTGTACTACCTCTGAGCTTAAAACCGAGGCAGGGAAGAGAACATCCATCTTTCCATGGCAGAATTATCTGAACCCCCCTTTCCAGGCTCAAACTGTTCACCACGCGCTTTCCAGACGATAAAAAGCGGCCCTCGCGATTTCGCCGGGCGCGGAGCCGGGAACCGCCCTCCTCAGCTGGTCCGTCGCGTCAGTCCTGCCGATGTGTGCTGGAGTTTTGTGGCTGATGTCAAGCTCCACCAAACCATGGTTTCGGTTGACCCAAACATAGAGGAATCTGTTCAGCCATGACCGGTCTGGCCCAGGGGCCCAGGGTGCCATGACCCACTGCCATGTAATTCCAACAGGTCCGTGGACTGCGTGGTGCCTCTGAACCTCGGCCCCGTCGCGTCCGACGAGCGTGGGCGACACTGAGGAGCTTGGGACGCAAGCTAGGCCCCTCAATGAAGACCTACTGGACGAAGTCAGGCAGGGTGGGTGTCCAAGGAATGCATCATGCGATGTACCAGGTACCAGATATTGACATTCTGAGCCGACTGCAGAGAAGATGCGGAAAGAATAAATATAGCAATATAATGTAATATACAATACAATTATGATGTGATATATGATTCACTTATGAGCATGGCACCACAATAGTTGCATGATTTGGCCTCTAGACTGACATGTGGGGGGTGTGGGGGCATGGGCTACACTTGTTTTG